TTGACTTATTTGGAGAACATTTTATTTGTAGAGTACATTTTATTCCCATTTTTCAAATGCTACTTTTATGGTACTGACCTATAGGCAGAGAGGTTACCTATAGGCAGTTCTGTTGTAAATGACAAATGCTATGGTTTCTGGTGTAAAAAGTAAATGGTCATAAAAACAATGTCACTTAGTATTTGACATTAATAAGGAGAACATTATAAATAGCTAAATAACAAACAGAAGGCTTTTTAAAAGGCAAGACTTTCCTCCTGCATTTGGAGTACAGATCTAGAAGCTTCCATAGGCACCAAATAGAGAGGAACCTCAGATCAAACACAGTCCCTCAGGAACAGCCTGCCTTACCCCACTCCAGAGAGTAAATAAAATGTATCAGATGACACATTAACCTCATTTCCTTTTTGAAAAGTTTTTGAATAATTAAACGAATGCCAATATTTGTCTTAATTTTAGTAAGATATCTAATGTGGATGTGTCTAATATACATTAATATAGGAAATAATAATTTGAAGTAAACAGAGAAAAGCGAAGAGTAATAATGTTCATTACAACATTCTCAATATACAGCTATGTTTGGAATACTTTGTAATTTGAACAGGAGAAAAGAAAGCTACGTGTATGGCATATTTGGCCTCAATAACAAAAAAAGTTTGCCTATTATATAATTGACATGAAGTCTTTTTCATAAAGGAAGAATGCTCACTCAATATTTAGGCAAAGTTTTAGAAATGCTAACAATCCTATAAAATGAAAAAAGATAACCCCAGAGGATAAAAAGATTATAACGTAGGATAAAATAGATGTAGGTAAACTACTTCAAAGATCTCAACTGAGAATCTAAATTTGACTTCAAAATGTATTTTGTGTTATACTTGAATACCAGAATACATGGTAACCTAGAAATGCATTGTATTTTGACTGAGAAGAACTACATTTCCAGACATGGAATCCATGAAAGCCAACTCCTACTCTTCTATTAAAGCTTTTTAGTAATCTTGCAAGGTCTAATAAAATTATATAAAAATCTGAAATGACATAATATTATG